ACTGGGATGCCATTACAGTTCATGTGCGTGTAAAGGCCGGCATCCCAATACTTTTATCAATATCTTGTATGTTCTTTATTGATGTGCACAAGTGTTTATTAGTCCATTGGATTGGGGGGGGGGCTACTCAGTGGGACTTATAAACAGTCTTTAGTTCTAGTACTGCAAGTGGCGAGTCGTGAGTGGCGGTGGCCATCTTTAAACCTGGAAAGTGCCCACATTACATTTTATATATTGCCGAAACGGCAATATATTAAATGTAAATCATTCCCTGGTGGTCCAGTGGGGAATCGGTATGATGTGCATCTCTTGCTTGATGCAGACCATACTGATCGCTCCCTCGTGGTGCCGCTGCTGACTAGCAGGGAGCGATTAGTATGGTCTGCATCAGCCAGAGGTGCAGATCACACTGATCCTCCACTGGACCACCTGGATGTGCCCTCAGTGCCCCACTGGACCCCATTAATGCATCATTTCTTCCTGCAAAACAGGTAAGCAGGAGAGGGGGACATTTTTTAGCTATTGTTATTAGTTGTCTGTGTGATGTGTTTTATTGTGTTTTCTTGAGTGTGTGAGTGTATGATATGTGTGTGATATGTGTGTGGCCTTGGGCGGGTGCTATGTGTATAGTCCTGTGCGTTGCTATGTCCTGTGCATTGCTATGTCCAGTGCGTTGCTATGTGCAGAGTCCTGTGTGTTGCTATGTGTAGAGTCCTGTGTGTTGCTATGTGTAGAGTCCTGTGCGTTGCTATGTCCTGTGCGTTGCTATGTCCAGAGCGTTGCTATGTCCAGAGCGTTGCTATGTGCAGGGTCCAGTGCTTTGCTATGTGCAGAGTCCTGTGGGTTGCTATGTCCAGAGCTTTGCTAGGTGTAGAGTCCAGAGCGTTGCTAGGTGCAGAGTCCAGTGGGTTGCTATATCAAGAGCATTGCTACATGCAGAGTCCATAGCGTTGCTATGTTCAGTGGGTTGCTATGTCCAGTGCGTTGCTATTTTCAGTGCGTTGCTATGTCCAGTGCGTTGCTATGTGCAGAGTCCAGTGCGTTGCTATGTCCACTACGTTGCTATGTGCAGGGTCCAGAGCTTTGCTACGTGCAGGGTCCAGAGCTTTGCTACGTGCAGGGTCCAGTGGGTTTCTATGTCCAGTGCGTTGCTATGTCTAGTGTGTTGCTATGTCCAGTGCGTTGCTATGTGCAGGGTCCAGTGCGTTGCTAGGTGCAGGGTCCAGTGCATTGCTAGGTGCAGGGTCCAGTGCATTGCTAGGTGCAAGGTCCAGGGCGTTGCTATATGGGAGGGGACATTGGAGTGTAAGCTCCTCTGTACAGAGACTGATGTGACTGTGGGGGAGGGAACATTAGAGTGTGAGCTCCTCTGTACAGAGAGTGATGTGACTGTGGGGGAGGGGACTGTCTGGCTCCCCTCGCTCTCTCTCCTGGTTGCCTCCCCTCGCTCTCTCTCCATTTGAGTTTCGCCTAAGGTCTCACAAAGTCTAGAGCCGCCTCTGCTTGCACATTACTTATGCTGCATGCAAATACACTCTGCCTAGGAACGCCCACTGCTCCAGACACTCATCGAGGCATTTTGACATTTGCATAACTCCACCCACGAGCCAGCCCACGGAGGCTCAACATCACATGTGGGCGTTACCTAGGGCGGTCTGCATGCAAATACAGCCTGCCTAGGAACGCCCAACTCCTCCAGACTGACATTAACCCATCAAGGCATTGTGATATTTGCATAACTCCACCCAAGAGCCAGCCCACTTCTTGCATCAGGGCTGAGGGCTCTTGACAAGAGTATTGAGACAGGTATCTCTGTGCTTTTCTTTGCAATGCAGGCTGATCATCGCTGGTGGGAGGGGCCGACAGGGCGCTCTACATTCCAGAGAACATCACAGCACCCTGCTGGCCCCTCCCACCAGCCATGATCAGCCTGCATTGCTTAGAGATGACATCACTGGCTGTAAAATAAGGTTGTCATGGAAACATAAAGCTTAATTAATTTATTGGGAGAGGGAGGAGGAAGGTAAGACACAATATAAGCAGAATAAACTCTAGCTTTCATATTGTTTAGTACAAGTTTACGTGTTCTTTACGTGTGGGTGATACATGATCTGTGTTTCTGTTCCTTACTATAGCACCGATGTCTTCATATGCACCAGTCCAATCAAACGATACAAGTACTGTCCATATGAAAAGGTAAGAAAACCATTGCAGAAAACCTTCAGAGAAAAGTACCGGGAGAGTAAAATATACTAGCACACTCAGCGCTAAGGTAAAAAACAGAGGTTTAGATACACGTCTTCTGCAGAAAATGTGAAAGCTGCACTGCCCCCGCCATGGCACCTCCATGTAGTGCGGTCCTAACCAGGGGCGTAACTAGAAATCACAGGGCCCCATAGCAAAATTTTGTATGGGGCCCCGTGATTGCTAGTTATGCCACTTGCAGAGCCCACCTGATATACCAAACAGCCCACCTGAGAGTGACCCTGCAGAGCCCACCATAGACTCTTTATAGTGGTCATTTTTGATGCTTTCTACCAGAAAATGGAATCTAAAGCAAATCTGTAACAGGTAGAAAGTGGGGTAAAGTCTGATTGTAATGCAGTTGTCTTTCTCATTCGCAGTATGCTTGGGTGGAGAAGCACTTTGGACACGAGTTTTTGGAGCAGATTATTCTGACCAGAGACAAAACTGTGGTTTCCGCTGACCTCCTGATTGATGACCGGCCGGATATAACAGGTAACATTTTTTCTGTTTTCATTACATACCGTATTTTATAGGGATGCACCAATACCAGTATTTCGGTATCGAGTACCGATACTTATATTTCGGGACTCGTCGATACCGAGTACCGATACCGGTACTTCCAGTAGCATAGAGCCGGCTTTCCAGGGCAATCAGGAAGCCAGGAAGGCTTCTTGATTGCCCGGGAAGCCAACTCCATTCTGTTTGGCCAGCTGAATGCTGATTGGCCAAGAAGCCGGCTTCCCAGCCAATCGGCATCGAGGCCGGCCAAACAGATCTGACAATATGGTGACACGACCCCCACCCTGCAGGCACTCATTCCCCTCACATAGATCCTTAGCAGCCGTCATTACCGTACCAGTCCCTCGGCCAGCTGGGAAGACACCGCTCTCCCGGATCTGTACAGCGCCCACGTGATCGGCCCTCAGCCTGCTACTGCGCATGCGCAGACTGCCCAGCACTCTCATTCAGAAATCCTGTGCATGCGCATTAGCAGGCTGAGCGCCGATCACGTGAGCGCTGTGCACACAGGAGACGTCAGATCTGGATGAGGGACTGGTACGTTAAAGAATGTAAGGATCTATGTGAGGGGAATGATTTGTCTGCAGGGAGGGGGTCGTGTCGCTATATGATCAGATTTGTTTGCCCGGCTCGACACTGATTGGCTGGGAAGCCGGCTTCCCGGCCAATCATCATCGAGCCGGCCAAATAGCATGGAGCCAGCTTCCCGGCTCCATCTTTCCTCGCGGCACTGCCGATCAGAGGAAATCTCCCTCTGGCCAGAAGTTCTAGTATCGGGAAAGGTATCGGAGCATACTCGCTCAAATTTTCGGTATCGGCACCGATACTAGTATCGGTGCCTCACTAGTATTTTATGATGATGTCACTGGTTCAGGGTCTGATGATGTCATCCCAAACCTCTCTATGCCATGCAAGCAGATCATGGCTGGTGGGAGGGGCCATTAGGGTGCTGTACATAGCTTCCTGAAAACATTCAGTACAGGTATCAACCACACATAATGACCATGCCATAGCGGGACTTTAATCCTTCAATCAGTCTTCTTCGTTCGCAGGAGCCGAAGCTATCCCAAGATGGGAACACATCCTCTTCACAGCCTGCCACAATCACCATCTTGGCTCGAGCTCGCCCCTCAGGAGGCTCCAGTCTTGGCGGGATGACTGGAAGGGAATCCTTGACAGTAAGCGCTCTCAGCTTTTTGAAGGATGCAAGGGAACCCACCAATCAGAGCCGAGGGATTAACCAATCAGAACAAAGCCATCAAACTTCTCCTTTCCCTTTTGGATGTCATTGGATGAGTTCGGTGCTGAACCTTGAAGCTGTGGATGCCGATGGGGAAGACTGTCCAAACACATTTCCTGCAGTGGCCCCTTCCATTACCTAAGACTGAGGAGGGGGAAGGTGCCTGAGTTACACTGTATTAGGATACATACGCACAATGGCCCAGCCATTATTATATGATTAGACTGGTGTTTTTATGGAATAATTTCAATCTCTTCTCTGTCCTCTCTCTCTATCTCCTTCTCTCTCTCTTCCCTTGCTCTCTTCTTTCTCTCTCCCTTCTCCCCTCTCTCCTTCTCTCTCTCTTACTTCGCTCTCTTCTTTCTCTCTCCACTCTCTTGTCTTCTTCTCTCTCCTCTCCCTCTCTCCTCTTCTCCTTCTCTCTCCTGTTTCTCTCTCTCTCCCCCCTCTCACTTTCTATCTCTCCCCTCACTCTCTCCTCTCTCCCCCCCTTCCCTCTCTCCTTTCCCCTTTCTCTTCCCTCTCTCTGTATCCTTTATTTCTCCTCTGATCTTCCTCTCTCCCCCTCCTTTCTCCCTCTCTCTATCACCTCTCTCTTTCCCTTCTTTCTCTCCTCTGTCACCTCGCTCTCCTCTCTCTCTCCCCTCTCACCCCCTTCTCTCTCCCTCTCTCTCTACCTTTCTCGCTCCTCTGATTTTTTCTCTCTCCCCTGTCTTCCCCCTTTCTCTCTTCCCTCTCTCTCCCTTGAGGATATTTTTATACATTGCTAATTTTATGCAATCGGGTTATCTCCGGAGATTTGCCCCAAGCACACCGAGTACTTGGGGGTGTTGGTGCCTTTTGTTGTGGAGATAGAATGGCTGCATTGAAGCTGAACTCCGGCCAATCGGTTAGAAACATATTAGGGAACTGTTTGCCAGATGATGTGTATTTCTATCCATCCAGCCCTGAGATTTGCACAGCTCTACAACACAGTAAAGCCCGGTTAGGCAGAACAGGAGACCTGATCTTTTTTTCTCTGCTGCTGCTCAGTAACACTTACAGTTCCTGTCTGTCTCTCTCTCCCAGCATGCAATGCTGCTGCACTTTCATTGTCCAAGCCGTCGGCAGCGGGTGGCAGGGCCGTGACACCGCGCTACTCCTATAAAAAAAAAAGCGGTGTCACCCTCTCGGCTGTGCAGTCTGGCAGAGGTCCATGAATTTCAAAAACGTGGAATGGATCTGTACTGCGAGTGCAGTCATCCTATAAGGGATATATAAGCTACCTAAGAGGGTCTTTTGATATAAATGCCATGAATCTGATGTGGTGACTTTATCGCACCAGAGACAAGCACGTGAAATGAAGACCGGGGGAGGGGGGGCCGGGGGGGCGTGTTATAGTTTTAAATTTTTAACAAGACTTTAATACTGTGATCTTTGTTTTGACTTTATTTTGGGGTATTATTTAAATGTATGGTTAGTTTTTTGATTGGTCCCTCACGGTGGTCTTGTTTTTGGGCGTTCCTCTGTACGTGCTACACAGATGTGTCCCCTGCACTCCTTTTTCATAGTCAACAGCCGGTAGAAGATCCGCTGCTCGTAGTGATCAACGGACGGACTGTGCCGTCTATGTTCAAGCTCGAGAAATTGGTAGATCACCAGCACTCCAAATATATAGTTTTTACAGGGCCGTTCCCGGGAGTGAAAGGTGCTGCATGTAGCAGCCTTTTCTTCCCTATGGGAGGACGCGGCCAAACGCACACCCGAACTGCGCATCCGTGCAGGTCCGGGTGTACGCACTCGTCTTTGCGTCCCCAGTTATTTACAAGCACTGGAGGGATCAGCTGATCACGCCGTGTTTGCTTTGCACAAAGAGGATTGGCAAATATCACCGATATATACTGATCCTCCACCCTGCCATCCTGATGGCTGAGCAGGGAGGAGAGAAAGATAGCTGAAGTCTGTGCCGCCCCTCTTCTACCTGCCAAGCCGTGGCTATGTTGGCCACCTGGCGCCCCTGTTGCCATAGCGCCCTGTGCTCGCCATGGCCACAGGGGCGAGGGGGCACAGCCAGGCCGGTCATGGCTGTGCCCCTTCTCAGCTGTGCCTCACTCGCCCCATGGTAGCTACAGCCCTGGGCGCCCGGAACCGCACGGATGTTCAGTTCTGAGTTCTGGTATGCGTATGACAGCGTCTGCCGCGTCTTCCCATAGGGAAGAACAGGCTGCTGCGTACAATCACAGGCAGCACCTGTCCGTCCCGGGAACGGCCCGATACGGGCGTGCACGCCGCACGGATGTGTGCGGCCTGGGTTAATGCAGTGTGAATGAGGCCTAAAACATTTCTTGTTATTGATTCATTAGTTCGGGACACACGCACATGGATGTAAATACAGGCCTCTGGGTCTGGGCGTACAGTGTAAAACGGCCTTCATCGAGGCGAATCCTATGTGGTGCCTTGATCACACCAGAGACAAGCACGTGAAATGGAAACAGGCGGCGTGTTACAGTTGTTCATTTTTAAAGACACAGTCATCTTTGTTTTGATATTTTCTTTTGATTTTATTTCAATTTATGGTTAATTTTTTCGTAGTGGTCTTGTTTTTGGCCGTTCCTCTGTACCTGCTGTCTGCTCCCATATATCTGATTGTACAAGTCACATCTTGAGCTATGAGTACCATTTGCCCCATTTTACATTTTGTTGCCGACTCGCTAGTTCAGTCCCCATGCACACGGACGTAAAGACAAGTGTATAGGTGTACAGGGCCGGATTTCTCACAAGGTCAACTAAGGCCCGGCCTTGGGGCAGCAGGGAGTAGAGGGGCAGCAGGGGTGTGGAATTCATATCTCCTGATGCCCGGGACATGCAGTTCTGGGGGCCGGGCAGGTAGTTGTTTTCTATATTTAGCCCTGCTTTGGGCAAGCAGAGCTAAATGTACAGCGGGGAAGCCCACACTTGTTTTCGCCAAGATCACTTGTATGCAGCCTGCAGGTCTGCCATTCTTGGGCCCATGGCGACCAATCAGCTTCCCTCTTTCACTTTGCTGGTGGCCACGTTCCCAGGGGTGCGAAGGGAGCGCTTTGGGGTGGGGCTGGTGGTCATGTTCCTGGGGGAAGGCAGGTGGGGTCCTGGCAGTGCACCACACAGCCCTGGCTGACGTCCCGCCCACTTTTCTGACATCACCGGTTGCCAGGAGCCAGGGGGGACGCCGGTCAGAGCATCCCAGGTTGCTAACAGCTGGGAGAAGAGATTTGTATGGACCTTACCTGGGATGCTCTAGCCAGAAAGGGGGCAGCAGGCTCTTCCTGACACCCCCACGTGACCCAAGGAGATGCCGCCTGAGACATTAGCCTCAGGCTGTCTCATTATACGGACGGACCTGTTTTAACCCTTTCTTTATCCAAAACAAATTTCAAAAAAACAAACAAACGGCTCGGCTTTAGGTAAATAAAAGGAATTTAGAATTGCATAAGATTAAAAGATTGCAATAACTGACTTGCCGAGAAAGGATTTTGAGGGAAAAGAGGTAAAAACTGAAAATAGGGAACATCAAAGGGCTTTGGAGGATACAGTTAGTGACCGTCCCTGGATATTAGAGAGCCAGTATGGCAAGTATGTATAAATGTTTACATGAAGAAAGGTGGGAATTGCATTCAAACGGTTGGGAACATAAAAAACTTAAAGATATACAGTAATAAGCACTCCACAGGTAAAAAAAACTATAGCAAAGTTCTTTATATCTGAAAATGTTTAACTATGTCCAGAGAAATATTATACTCAATGTCAATATATATTGTAGCATCATAGCAGGAATCATATACGGACATAGGGGTCTATTTATAAACACTTCACAGGGCTGTTCCCCCTGTGAATCTCTGGGAATGTTCATTCTGTGCAGATATATGCCGAAACGAACGTCCTTTAGTTATTTTTTAATGCTTTTATGTAAGATCACATTATGGCCACTAGATGGCGGTAAAGGTGCACAGGAAATAAGTATTTAATTCTATGCTCTTTGGCGCCATCTGGTGGCCATAATTTGGTATTACATGAACAAAATCAACAAAAATGAATGCACGCTGTTGAATTTGCACACTTCAGAAAACTTTAAAAAAATCACCCTATAGAATAGATATCGGCCCGTTGTCAGCCCACGCTTGTTTGCTGAATGTCCCTGTTATGTACGTTTTGGCTTTTGCACCTCAGTAGCCGTAAACAATCCTATTGAATAGCTTGACAGCGTATGGCCTGGCCAGGAAGGGGGTGAAACACTATGGCCTTCAAGTGGTTAATTTGGGCCTAACGATGCGCCTGAAGGGAGAATTATCCTTGTTGCCCATAGCAACCAAATTACGTCCTACGTCAGGGGTAGCCAAACTCCAGCTGTGGTGGAACTACAAATCCCATGAGGCATTGCAAGATTCTCACAGCCACAGGCATGACTCCCGGAGAGAGATGCATCATGGGATTTGTAGTTTCACCACAGCTGGAGGGCCGGAGTTTGGCTACCCCTGTCCTACGTTCTCCCATTGTAGCATGGAATATGACCTCCAGGCACCGTAATATAGGGGGCCCCAACTACGGGCCTCAATTGTAATAATGTCTAAGGCTCAGAATAGTCTCAGGCTTCTGATTGGTTGGTGTCGGCACCACAGACTGCCCGAGATAATTCTTTCTCAGACACTTTCAGAGCGGAATTCAGCGTGCATTGTGATGAAGAATTGTAACTGTGACGAATGGAGGATCTTGAAATACACTGGCGGCATCAACAAGGGAAGAAATATATAATATACTGTTCAATAAATACATAATATACTGTTTATCCTTCTGTGTGGCGGTGTCGTTATTTGGCGCTCGATGCGAACACGGGGCTGCACGGGGCCACTTGCAGAAGGGCGGTAACCTATAGCAACCAGTCAGCAATGGTTTTCTAGATAGATTATATTGACCACTACAATCTGCACATCAACCAGCTGAAGCTGCCAATAGTTGTAGGGCTGGATTGACACTGAGAGCAGGGC